CCTAGCTTTTCAGCACCTGTTTTTTTCGTTTCCTTATAATTTTTTCAGTAGGAGTGTTTTTCTCTGTGTTCTCTGCTGTGTTCACTTCATTCCTGTTAAACTTGCACTTCACTGATGTTTATGCCCCTAGTGCCCTCACACACACCTCACCATGAAACATCGATAACCAGCCAGGGAAGGTTGGTTCCAAATTTTTAAGTGCTTTGTGGTAAATGTTGGAGCTGGAGGGCATTCCCAAGTATCTCCCCCCAGGGTCCCATTCGTATCAAGAGGTTATCATGCTGTACAGCTGGTTCCTCACAGAGACTCACAGCCTCATTAAAACGCCAGTGGGGGCCATAGAGCCCAGGGTGTGGAAAAGAGGAAGAGCGTGGAGTGATGGATGACTTTTTTGCCTTTCTGGTGGAGGAGGAGGTACTTATGATTTGTCTTCCACATAGCTGCAGGAAAAATCCTCCTGGTCTGGGGAGCCCTGAGAAGATCTGTAACTATGGCGATTAATTGTCACAGTACAGCTTAAAAGGCGAGTGTGTTTGGGTCCTGTCCTTAGGTGTTAGTTCTGATCTCCATGCTTTTTTTTTTCCCCTCTGTATCTGTTCTTTTGTACACAGAGCTTCTGCCACTTCAGTATTAAGATTGGTTGGACCCAAACAGCAATGTGCTTTGGAGGCCTTAGCCTCAGGCCGACCCCATAGAGGGGATAGTCAGCGTTCACAGGGGAGAAACCTTCCTGCTTCGCTGCAGTGGCCATGCAGGACTCGGTTGTATTGCCAGGCAGCTTCTTCAGGTTTGATGGGCCTCTTTCAAATGTGGTTTCTCATGTGCTGGTGGAGTACCCCATGGTACCCTAATAAGCTCTGCATGTATTTGTTTTTAGTTCTTTTTGCTATGATGTTAATCAAAGAGTGATTGTGATGATGAAAACTAATTAGTGAGCTTCATTATTAACATCTCCCTTTTGAGACTTGCCCATGATAATCCTGATTAATGGCTAACTAATAGGTTTACTCTGATTCCCATTTCCCTGTGCTGTTTTGTATGTTGTGATGTTTGCTTCTCACCAGGAAGCATGTTTATGCCTACTATATGGGTATTTTCGGTGGAAAAATCATAGAATTCACTTTGCTAACATCAAGTATAAACTGACAGCCTAAATCCTGTTCCAGAATCACAGAACTTTGATTTATATAAGTTCTGCTCTTCTAGGATGCAGAGGACACGGGCGTCTAAGTAGCATACTTGTGGACCTTGGTCCTGTGCGTGCCATGTAAGGATTCTGCTTCCTCTGCCTTTCCCCCTGCCCTTCCCCTGCCCTCTTCTGTCCTCAACTTTCCCACTCTCCCAAACTTGGTCATTCATTGTACTAAATTATTTTCAACATGTGCTTGCTTACACATCGTACTTTGTAGAGACAGGTGGCAATCTACCTGCTGAAGGGAATTTCTTACAGGCATTGACACATGTAATCTGCATTTGGAAGAGGTTTGACCTGACAGGCCAGAAGTGAGGACAGAGTAGGAGTGTATAATTAAGGTGTCTTTACAACCTTTCCCTCTAAGGATCATCCTGCCTTTCTTTGGGGTCATTCCAAGCTCCGTTCCAGTAAGTCTGAGGTACAGATATTAGCATCCTTTGAAATGAAGTCACCCCAGGCACATTTGTTGCATCATTACTTTCTCAATTTCAAGGTGTATTGAGGAGGCAGAAACATTCCTTAAAGAGATGCTATCCACAATAGCAAGTTAAATGTAGCTAATGCAACCTTAAATTAGCTTCTCTAGGATTACAGGAAAATAACTTATGTGTGGTTTGTTTTGGAGCACAGGTAATGTGAAAACTAGCAGTGCAACAAAAAAAGACTTACCTGCTCAGAAGTACAGTTGCTTCTTGATTATTTACACCAGTGGAGGGGAATATTGGTGCAGAAAACTGTAGCTAATTTATCTGCTTGGATTCTCAAAGCCTTGAGCCAATGTTATGCCAGATAACTATGGCGAGTAGACTCCCAGGCCTCATGTACATGAGTCACAGCATGGAAAACCTGAGGATGGGAGTCTCTGCAACTAGACCTCTAGACAGAAATACTTGATACTGAATAGTCTTACCTTGAAATGAGCCTTCTGTGCCTTAAGTCTCAGTGTTGTTATCTCTTTAAATCTGAGGCTTTTTAAAAATACCTTTTGGAGTTATAAGGTTATAAAGAAACCTTTGATTTCACTAAATCTCAGTAGGTGCTGCTTCAGGATTGTTGGAGAATTTCAAATGTCATCTGAATGTTGTCATTTGAACTTGCTCACTTTATTGTCCTTAAGATCCACCTGGCATCTTCAGTTCCTCAGTGGGGCCTAAACTGCTCTCTGTTACACTGTTCCTCATAATCAGGTTTTCTCTTATTTACCTAGTGTTGAAACTTAGAAGTGAGTGTAAGAGACTGAAGCACATTGCTGTACTTACATGGGCTCTTTGGAAGGCAAATCAGAGTTTAACCACAGTCATTTTTATGGTAATAACAATCAAAACTCCTAAAATAAATAATTCCATAGCTAAATTAGCAGGGAATGATGTATGGCTACATCACCTGAGGGAACTTGTCAGTCTGACATATCAGTCTTTTCATATGAGCCACTTAAACAAATTTTAAAGGTTTCAAGGATTTTTGTGTTAAAAAGGAACATGCCAAGCAAGGGAAGTGCTTGAGATGACAAGGAAAGACAGACACCATTGCCTGTGATGGAGATTTGAAAGAGCTGACATCTTGTACTTACATTCAATTTAATTGACTTGATAAGAATTTTTTTACTCTTAAGAATCTATGAACTTGGGTGAAATTTTGTATCTTTTCCCTTAACGGGTGGCTCATAGGCATATCATCTTCAAGCATTTGGAACGATGAGGGGGTTCCATGTCTTGTCTTGCAGTTTGGCCTCTGGAAGTAAACATGGACAATTGTGGTAGGCTTTTAAAATTTGTTTTCAGAAGCCTTCAGTTGTCATAGTCAGCTTTCACTTCTAATCTTTGTCATAATCAGTGGCATGTCATATTCTCTTTGCCTTCTTCCCATATGTTGTTGTTTCTGGATTAGGACTGTTAAATTGTAGGTTGAGACTTAGAAAGAGTCAGGAACTTTTTGTTTAATTACATGGCTGATAGTAAGGTACCTTGATTTCTCCTTGGTTCCCAGTCTGAGAAATTCTCTTTCTTGGTAAAGTAGGTAATCATTTAGCAAAATATGGTGAGAGTCTGCTCCAACCTTCTTTTTGTATTAATACCTACGTGTGTGTGAGCTGCTGTTATTCCTATAAGCACCTTTTTTTTTTCCTCCAGATAAATACCTCCATATGACAGTGAGCAAAAGTCTGTTTCTGAAAAATATAGATTACTGCAGTTTTGAGGGGAAAGGCCCTCTCTCCAGAGACATTAAGTTGCCTCCTGAATTGCGATAATCAATTTAATAATTGTTGTTACTTACTGGTTCAGCTCATGAATAATGTCCCAGATTTAGACTAGTGTGGCAAAAGGATTTTAATCAGGTAGTGCTTTCTTTCCCATGGAGCATTTGTCTTGCTTGACTGTTCTGGACTTCAGCCAACTGCCAGAAAGGCCTTGTCCCACTGTATATGTAGAGTAGAATATGTGTTGCTTAAGTGTTCACTGGGGGAGTTCCCAACTCACTAAAGCTCATTGTTACCTTACCTTTTACCAATGTGCCATTAAAGACACTGAGAATGGATGACTGTCTCTCCTTTTCTCTGAGAATCTGTTTGAAGGGAAGGATGAATCTCATTACTATAAATACTGTTTTCATCCCAGCCTACCTCACTGCTTCTGAATGAGAGGAGCCCCTCTGGCTGCTGTGAAAGCTCTCAAATACTTGATGGCTTGTTAAATTTTCATTATCTAATGTGCATTAATTTAGATACAATAGCTCTGTTGCTAGGAGCAGAGTCAGAAAGGAAGAGCTTGGCGGAGTGCAGACTGCTTGTGTCGCAGGAGTCAGGAAAGTGTGCAGAGCTTGCTGTCCTCAGAGGGAGTTTACAGTTCTGCTGGCTGGGCTGAAAACCTCGGAAATTCTGACGTCCCCTGACTACTCCCCCAGCACATGCACTGTGATGTTTTGATGCTTGCTTACTCTGTCATCTGTTTCATTAGCTTGAAGGACTGAAAGGATTTGAAGCTCTCTAGATGAGAGCTCTGAGGTTCAAAATGTCCAAGGTCTGGTTACTCTTGAGGGGGTAGAGGGCATGCACTTTGTGTTTTATGTGTGAAAAAAGTTTTAAAGTGCTATTAGGTTTCATGTGTTTTCCTGTTTCTATAATTGTTCATACTGACATGATGTGGAATAGGTCCCCATGGAGCATGTCCTATTGTTAGAGATCTCCCAGGCTGGGAACAGAAACAGTCTGCCCAGGTCCCAGCTCACCCCTGAAAAGCACGTAGACCAAGGCTCGCTATATAGGCACCCAAAGAAGGCTGCACTCTTGATGTTCAGAAACAGTGAGCCTCTGAATCTACATAACCCATTGACGGTTAAAGATGAACTACTTTGGGTTTCTTGGGAAGGGGCTTTATGTAACACAGCCTGGGTATCACTTTTTTTTTTTTTTAATGAAAATTAAAGGTTAAATTAACCTCCATGAAAGGCTGGTATTAGTCTTCTCCCCCTTGATTTTGTTGAAGGAAGAGAAGCCCTTTTTTGCATCCCGTGAGGAATGAAATTTTCATTTCAAAGCACCTTCCTAACTTGTATATCCATTGAGTGCATAGTAACAGAACAGAAGGAAGCACAGAATATTCTGGAAATTTCAGATTAACTCTGTTTCTTCTGTGGAAGTCACATGGGTATCTTGCCTATGTCATAGTTTCAGGGTTGTCTCTTTTCCTACGATTATTCGCCAAGCTTTCTATGGTCTGCCAGACTTTTTGCCCTAGGACAGAGAAAAAGAATCATTTGCTCAGATTTTATTACTTTTTTCTAATGATTCTTTTCTTTTATCCACCAGGATACCCAAAAAGCAAAGCAGTTTCTGCCCTTCCTTCAGCGGGCAGGTCGTTCTGAAGCTGTGGTGGAATATGTCTTCAGTGGTTCTCGTCTCAAGCTATATTTGCCAAAGGAAACTTGCCTTATCACCTTCTTGCTTGCAGGTAAGTCTTGTGTGTTTTATGTTCTGATAATTCTTCCCGGAGCTCAGAGGTCATGCTTGGAGGTCACATGCCTTCTTTTCCCTTGTGTTTTAGATAGGACCTCGAACCAGTCTAGGTGTTTTAGTCTCTGATTGAGATGTGAACACAAAACTGCTAGATTTGATCCCTCTATCACTGCAGACCCAACACTGGGCCCTCTTCCTGCTCCCCATTTCTACCAGCCACAGGGCATAAGAGTAGAGCAGCTTGAAAGACAACACGTATCTTTTCACAGCCTGGGTGAAGGGAATTCCAGACAAAGAAAAATACTAATGATGGAATTCTCACAGTCGGTATTTCGCATTTGGGATAGACCACTCCTGCCATGTTAGTCATGGGTAGTCCACCGAGGAGCTGAGACACCCTCCCCTTGTGTCTCCCTAGGCAGTACCATTTGTCTTTTATTCTTTTCAGCTGTTATTAGGATCCAAATCCTTTCTGAAACGTCAGACATGACATTACCTTCCCAGGCTCCTGCATCTTTACTATTTCCCTGTTGCACTAAGCTTGACGTGCTAGGGAAGGCCGCCTTTTCTTTGCTGACTGAATGCGCATCTTTCTTATCCTGTCTTTTTTAGTAGCTTAATATTTCTCAAGCCAGAAAGACTGTGTATGAACTGTGTTCTTTGAGCAATTTACATTTATGCATTCAAGGAGCAGACTGCCTTACTTCTTCCCCAATGGCAGATAATAAAGTTATTTATTTTCAGTCAGTACTTCACAGAGACTGTGGTCTTTGAGAGAAAGTGTCATTTTACTTCAACACCCCACAGCCCACCCTGTACATACAAACATTCAGTCACTCACAAAGGACATACATATTCTGCTGTGTTCTCCCGGTTCACATTGCCTTTTCTGTTGATACCCTGCTCCCTCAGCACTCCTTCTGTTGGGATTCTTGAATAGAATTTGCCATGGGGGGAGAGAAATGGGAGCCATGCTTGCTGTCCCCTGCCAGATTGCCTCAGCCTCCTTTTCCTAGAAGGCACGGATAGTTTCTTCTCTGGATCAGGGTCTCCCTCAGGCCCTAACTAAATGGGTTGTTATGTGAGATAAATCACTCAGTGAACACATGGCCGTGACGTTCTCTGCTGCTGCTGCTGGGCCGCCACTTCTGGCTGAGGCTGTCTCGCATGCTCTGAAGAAGTTAATGATCACTGCGCAGCTCTGCAGGCTTTCTGAGGGGACTAACTGAAATACAACATGAAGCTCAGGGGCAGCTGCGGAAAGGAAGGGCCAGAACAAATCCATACCTTACTGGAGGGCTGTGCTTCTGTGAGCTGTAGTAAACGGAGCGGTAGCATGGCAGCGTGTGACGGAAGCCATTCGTGCCCTTAAGATTTCTGGAGCCGAGAAGTTTCTTATCAGTGAATTCTTTTTGTTACAGAGTTGGAAGTATATATTCAACTTCTCCTTTGTTCTATGTCTACAAAACAAAAGCATCCTCTTGGCAGTGTGGAGCTTTATCCCAGAGGTGAACAAGAGAAAAAGTATTATTCTTTCTGGAAAGCTTGGCCACAGGTCTGTAGGGGAAAGAAAACATTGAAGTTCTGGCTTCTAAATTCAAAACTACCTGAACGGAGCCAGCTCAGAGCTTAGACCTATCCTGGCTGGAGTTTTCCTGCAGAACCCTTCTGGTTGTACTTTCTTTCCCATGGAGCATTTGTCTTGCTTGACTGTTCTGGACTTCAGCCAACTGCCAGAAAGGCCTTGTCCCACTGTATATGTGTTGCGTAAGGGTTCACTGGGGCAGTTTCCAACCAACTGAAGCTCAGACACAACGCAACCTGGTCACTCAATTCCACAGCAGCCAGTTCCTGTGTGTACTTGGCATTATTCTAAGTTTAGCAATTCGAAAGACAGTGCCTGAGTTAACTTACATTCTGAAAGATAGATTACCAATGCAAATACATGATAAAATATAAGCTTTTCCATTTTTCTCGTGCCATACTATATGCGGTTATATTCTGCATCTTCTGATTTCTTTAGAAACCTGGCAAGGATACCGGACAGGGGAAAGTAAGAGCACGCAGACCTCAGTTTGAATCACGGCTCTACTCTGCACAAGCAGGTGACTTTAGGGAGGTTTTTTACTCTTGAAGCCTTAGCTTAGACATCAGTTAACTGGAAAGTGTTTCTTGCCTCTTAGGATTTTGTGAGGATTTAATGAGATGTGTAAAGGGTTCAGAACAAGCCTGCCATAAAGTAGATTATCCATAAAAATGTTTCCTTCCCCCTTCCTCTCACAAAGACTTGGTGAATTCATAACTAGAGCTCTTCTTAACTCTTAAATGGAATGGTATATTGTACAGTGTGTGTGTGCACAGCTGAGGCTCTGCCATGAAGACTTTGACCTATCAGTGGAAATAAACCAAGGAAAGGTGCTGTTCTTGCCTCCTCCTGAATGAGCAGAAAGCTCACTGATAGGAAGGCTACTGGCTTTTCCCTTTGAGTTTTGAAAGAGGAACTCTGCACACTGGTAAGACATTGTCCTAGGTCTCTGGAAGCTCTAGACGGAACACAGACATGTAAGCAAACTGCAGCATTGGGCTCTAGGTGAAGAGAATTCTTTACAAGGCACAGAAGTAACACAGAGAAGGGAGTGATCAGTTACTTAGAGGGAAATCAGAGGTTGTCTCCCTGAGGAGCTGCCACCTGAGCTGCTTTTGAAGGACAAATAGGAGTTGGCAGTGTTGGGACAGGAGGGGAAAAGGAGGAAGAAAGGAACATTCCAACTAGAGGTTAACAGCATGTACAAAGGTGTAGAGGTATGATCTTTCCTGGTGTGCCCAGGTAACTGTGCCCCCTTTGGTATTGGTGGAATATAAGGAGTGAGGGGTTGGGGTGGGATGCGGCTAGAAATGCACACAGGATATACCGTGGACCCTCAGAGTCACTCAGGGTACTGAGCAAGAGAGCAACGTGCTCGCACTTGTGTTAAGAAAGCTTATTTTGGTGAATACGTTGGAATAAATGAGGCTGGAGACTGAGAAAGCAGTTACAGAAGCAAGAGGGTTAGTGACCTAAAATCTGGCAGTGAAGAGGAGAGGTTGGAAAAGTATTTAGGAGGAAGACTTGATAATTCAGGGAATGATTGGATTTTTTTGGTCAGAAATGGGGGTGACATTGAGTGTAGGAAGGAAAGTAACTCGCCCAAGGCTTGAGTGTTTGGGCAGACTGGGATATCCACCAGCAAGGGCAAAACCAAAGTAAGAATAGGTTTTAGGAACCAATAATTGGTGGTCGGAGGATTAGGTGGAGAATCCTGCATGTTCAGGAAGCCAAGAGAGGAAAGAAATCCAAGGAGTCGGCACTGTCAGATTTTACCTAAAATATCAAGTCGGTAAAAACTAGGAAGTGATTTTATACTGTTTATCAATTAGTAAGTCACAGATGACCTTTGTCAGTGCAATTTCATCAGAGTTGATTCAGCTAAAGGCAGATTACAGGCGATTAGGGTGTAAATGTGGGAAATGAGGAACAGAATCAAAAATAGAGTGCTCGTTACAAAATTCTAACAGAATGCAAATGGAATGCATAAAAATGAAAGCTAAGGGGTCACAGTAACATTCTAAGGATGTCAGCAACTTGAATACTTGTATAACTGTAATTCTTAAGATTGGAGCAGAACGTGGCATTGAGTTGGAAAAGCTATTCGGTATACCTATTGTTTTCATAATACCAATTACAGAAGTAAAACTCAACAAAATCTTCTTGGCAAATGAGGATATAAAAAAGATGGAGTGAGAAAGTATCATAGGGAACATGAGACGCACTGGTCTGAATCCTGAGAAGAAGAAACGAAGAAAGGCTGCAAGGAATTGATTGACAGAGGGATGAGCTAGAGGAGACGGCAGGAATGAGATGGCTAGAGAGCAGGATGGAGGGAGTATCCTTAGAGGAGGGCCCCTTGGTCTTCTGAGACCAGCTACAATGAACGCTGAATGTGAGTGTAGACACAGACACAGCATTCACATTGTGGGGTGGTTCACCTGGACAGTGAACCTCATGGCACAGCTTTGCAGGTATCTGTGGGATGTGCTCTACATCGTGGAAAAATGGCATTCTGCTGGAAATGATGTCTCTCTGCAGCCAGGAGGGAGTTTGGGCTGTGATTCTCAAGGGGAAAGTCAAGATAATTGTTCAGCAATCCCGTATGTGCTGCTCTCGTTAATCCCAGCCTTTCAGAGAGCCCTCTGGACTTCAAGGTGGGGTGGACATTTTCCATTTTTATGTCGCCTTTTTTGGGCAGACGGCCCCACAGCTTGATAGGGAGTGGCATTTGGCCCAAGCCAGCTGGCCTCTCTGTCACGGTTCCTGCACCCCTGTATGTGGAATGATTGCTTGGTCAGATGGGATAGCAGGTGGGGCTGGGCAAAGTCAGCTGTAGCTGACAGGTCAGTGCCTCCTGGAAGCTCTCGCCCTTTAGTCCTTTGAGCACCTGGCTTAGGTTTGGTCGGTGAGCAGGTGACCTTACAGCATCAGAACAGAGACTGTTGACTTCCCCTCTGCCTGCCACTGTGGCCTCCTCCTGTGCAGACTTATTTCGGTCGTGGAGGCAATCAGAGCCAGGTCTTGTCCTCAGTTCGCAGGGAAGCCAAGATCCCCGGGCAGCCCACATTTGTTTGAAAGCATCCTTTTTCCTCATCCAGCATTTAGTGTGTCCCACGCTTTTCCTCCCATTAGAACAAAAGCAGTTTACCCCCAGTCTTTATTTTTCACGTATTTTCACTTGTTTCACATTTTAGTTTCTTGTCGAAAGGGATAGGAGGTGCACATATTTGCATATCACTTGGCCTTTGATTCACATTTTTATTTAACAGCACCATTGGGCATGGGGAGTGTGTGTCCTAGTGCTATGTCTGAATTACTCTCTTAGCTCTAGGGCATCTGGGTCATGACAAGGGCATAGTTCAGGAAGTAGTCCTGTTGACTAAGCAGAGGCAGGTATCAAGTTTGCC